AGAACCGCTGAACTGCAGATAACAGTCAGCTGAAGTGGCCTTCAGTACTGCACCCTAACCACTGCGCCACCTTGGCTCAAAAAATGTTCTCTCTCTTTTGTATTAATAGACATTGTTACCAGCGGGACTAGTTTGGGAATAGGCCTGTTATGTGTTCTGCTTCAAAATTTCATCTGGGATTTTGTTTTATAGTCCTTCCATACTAAACAACAAATACTGCAACTTGGGGGGAAAAATGGGATCAATTTTTTTTGGAAGAGCGGGTAGATGAATGACCTGGAAAAACGATAATTTGACCAGATAATTTGTATTTTAAGACTGGAAGATCTCAGTTCGACCATATGAAGTGTTAAATATCAGGGTTCTATTTTTCTAAACGTTACACTCTAAAACCAAAATAGCATGCAGGTATCAGAATATATTCAGTATAGTCATATATTTGAAATTAGATTTAACCAGCCATTTTCCAAACAGATATGCCTACACTTTCTTTTTAAAAAAAAAATAGAAATCATCTTATCTAATTCCCGTGACAGGATTAGGGATCTATGATTTGATGGGAAGGACAGCTGTCTTGTTTCATGTATTCATTTCCTACGTTTTTATGTTACGTATTTTATTCATGCGTGTCATTGCAACAGTTCATATTTGACGTACCGTTTATTTTGAAATGCTTACATGTTGGGTTCACAGCCAAGGCAGTAAATCTTTTTCTGTGCGTGTATCTTGCGGTGTCGTCACTGATCTCTCTAGGTTTCCTTTCCTTTCCAGATGGACCTCCCGTCGTGCCCCATTATGATATTTCGGACACAAACTCTGACCCAGAAGTGGTGAACGTGGACAATCTTTTGGCAGCTGCAGCCGTTCAAGAGCACAACAGTTCCGTCGCTAACCAGGATGCTGAGCCTACTTGGAGGACGAGAGGGCTGCTGGAAGAGCTGAATGCGGAGACAAGTGGGTAGAACATATTTCATTGGTCTTGCTAAGATCTGATGCTTCCCCTCAAGGTTTACTTCTCTTTCTATGTGGAATCCTGATCTAGATCCTCTACTAATACCTGTGTGTTGTGGCACTAATGAGGAGGTTGGGGAGGAACATGGGCCAGTCCTGGAGTCTGGGGAAGGCTCCGACGAGTGCTCTGCGTCAGAGGCAGATGGGGCCAGGGCCGTATGACAGTTATCAGCTGCCTTCGGAGTTGGATATCAGTGAGGCAGAAGAACAACTGGAGCCTGTTCCCAGTGTGCTCATGTGCAGGGCTGCCGGGAGAAAGGAGCACCTAAGGAACAAGGGTCGACTTGGGAGTAAAGCCAGAGGCGGACGGTGAATGGCCCCTCCCATAGGGAATAAAGAGGAGCGAAAGGGTTGCAGGAGACAATTAGTTCAATTCATTAGAGTGAAGATCTGTTCCTGACTTCTTGCCAAGTATTATCTGCTACAGAGTGGC